GCACTCACCTGTCACCCGTCTCAAGCACTCACCTGTCACCCGTCTCAAGCACTCACCTGTCACCCGTCTCAAGCACTCACCTGTCACCCGTCTCAAGCACTCACCTGTCACACGTCAACCTCTCAAGCACTCACCTGTCACCCGTCTACCTCAGTCACACTCACCTGTGACTTACATCTCCCATAAACATCGTCAAGAATGTTTACCAATTAATTTCTGGTGTTTATAAATTCACTTAATTGGTAATTTGAGAGATGCGAGACGTCTCCTGGCGCCCGCTGACGTCTCCTGACGCCCAATGACGTCTCCTGGCGCCCACTGACGTCTCCTGACGCCCAATGACGTCTCCTGACCCCCAATGACGTCTCCTGACGCCCACTGACGTCTCCTGGCGCCCACTGACGTCTCCTGGCGCCCACTGACGTCTCCTGGCGCCCACTGACGTCTCCTGGCGCCCACTGATGTCTCCTGGCGCCCACTGACGTCTCCTGACGCCCAATGACGTCTCCTGACCCCCAATGACGTCTCCTGACGCCCACTGACGTCTCCTGACGCCCACTGACGTCTCCTGACCCCCAATGACGTCTCCTGGCGCCCAATGACGTCTCCTGACGCCCACTGATGTCTCCTGACCCCCAATGACGTCTCCTGACCCCCAATGACGTCTCCTGACGCCCACTGACGTCTCCTGACGCCCACTGACGTCTCCTGACGCCCAATGACGTCTCCTGACGCCCACTGACGTCTCCTGACGCCCACTGACGTCTCCTGACGCCCAATGACGTCTCCTGGAGCGTCTTGCTGACCGAGAGCTCAGCAAGCCGGGACTCGGCCATCACGCATATACCTGTCTACTTTTATAGACACATCTGGCAGGTTAGTGAGGCTAAGCCACTACCAGAACACTCAGTTTGCAAACTCTGTGACAAACCTTTAATGCATTCACTAGAACACTATATTGTTGAATGTGAAACCGTAAAACATTTTAGACCTCCTGGCCTATTGTACCACCAACTGTGTAACTAGTTCATTGAATCTGCCAGTGTACTGGACGACATACTTACAATTTATAAAAAATTTGCTTGTCCATTTTAAAGAATGAAGAACAATTTTATTTATATTATTATTGTTAAGCTGCATCTCTTACGAACCCATCCCTGCCCTTGTGTGGCAGTGCACAATAGAAAGTTGTATTTACATATTCCTACATTAAAACATTGATTGTAACCATGATATATATGTGCTTCAGCCTACAGTTTAGACTTATTGTCTTGTGTATGACCCTCTGTCCTGTGTGACAGTGAATACCAGCATTATCCTCACTTTAATAAGACTTAATTAAATTCCTCAGATTAGGCAAAATTGTAATTTTTTTTTGTCAATAAAGATATTAATAATAATAATCTACTTGCGAAACCTGTACATCTTTCCTCAGTCATGGCGGCTTATTTTGTATTTATTTAACAGCTAACGAGCTTGGCAACGCTACGAGGTCATTCTGACCCCTAAGGCTGTAATAGACAACCTCGCAGTGCCTCGGTGCTCGTTAACTGTTTCGTAAATTCAACCCTAAGACGCCATGGTTGAGGGAAGATGTACAGGTTTCGCAAGTGGACATATAAATGTTTGGTGAATTATGGCCCAAGTGTCTCAAGGGAATTCAAATCAATATCTAATAGAGAAGAAGCCATTGCTAAATGGCCTCACCCCCACCACTCTGGGGGGTGACAGCTGTCAGTCACCAAGCTGTCAGTCACCAAGCTGTCAGTCACCAAGCTGTCAGTCACCAAGCTGTCAGTCACTAAGCTGTCAGTCACCAAGCTGTCAGTCACCAAGCTGTCAGTCACCAAGCTGTCAGTCACCAAGCTGTCAGTCACCAACCTGTCAGTCACTAAGCTGTCAGTCACTAACCTGTCAGTCACCAAGCTCAGTCACTAAGCTGTCAGTCACCAAGCTGTCAGTCACCAAGCTGTCAGTCACCAAGCTGTCAGTCACCAAGCTGTCAGTCACCAAGTCAGTCACCAAGCTGTCAGTCACCAAGCTATCAGTGACTAACCTGTCAGTCACTAAGCTGTCAGTCACCAAGCTGTCAGCTCACACTAACCTGTCAGTCACTAACCTGTCAGTCACTAACCTGTCAGTCACCAAGCTGTCAGTCACCAAGCTGTCAGTCACCAAGCTGTCAGTCACTAACCTGTCAGTCACTAACCTGTCAGTCACTAACCTGTCAGTCACCAAGCTGTCAGTCACCAAGCTGTCAGTCACCAAACTGTCAGTCACCAAGCTGTCAGTCACCAAGCTGTCAGTCACCAAGCTGTCAGTCACCAAGCTGTCAGTCACCAAGCTGTCAGTCACCAAGCTGTCAGTCACCAAGCTGTCAGTCACCAAGCTGTCAGTCACCAAACTGTCAGTCACTAACCTGTCAGTCACCAAGCTGTCAGTCATCAAGCTGTCAGTCACCAAGCTGTCAGTCATTAAGCTGTCAGTCACCAAGCTGTCAGTCACCAAGCTGTCAGTCACCAAGCTGTCAGTCACTAAGCTGTCAGTCACCAAGCTGTCAGTCACCAAGCTGTCAGTCACCAAGCTGTCAGTCACCAAGCTGTCAGTCACCAAGCTGTCAGTCACCAAGCTGTCAGTCATCAAGCTGCCAGTCACCAAGCTGTCAGTCACCAAGCTGTCAGTCACCAAGCTGTCAGTCACCAAGCTGTCAGTCACTAAGCTGTCAGTCACCAAGCTGTCAGTCACCAAGCTGTCAGTCACCAAGCTGTCAGTCACTAACCTGTCAGTCACTAAGCTGTCAGTCACTAAGCTGTCAGTCACCAAGCTGTCACCGTGCGTGTTGCCGACTACCCCACGTATGTAAACTGGGAATATATCCGCCATGTTTCAGTTTAATTAAATCGAGCTTGTGTATCGAATGCCAGAAAAAAAAGGCAATCTGGGTGCCGATTTTGGCGCCGGCTATCGACGGTCCGATAACGTGCCTTCAACAAACATTTTTGTCATGGGCTTGTGACACCGTTTCAGATATCGTCGGATATCGTGTATTTCACCGTCGACGGGAAATACAAAATGCGATTGGTAGAGAGTAATTTGAGAACCTCTGAGCTGAGATGCATTCAGGGGGGTCGTCGTACCTAAGTGTTTGTGTACGTGCTATAGCAGCCCGTCCTCCAAACAAAGACCCAAAAGTGATTCCATCCACCCGCCAACCCCCCCCCCCCAAGCTGTTTATGAATGAAAAACGGTTTACACACGACTCTCAACTGATGACGTTCGAACACTTCCGGATCAAGTGCTTCACTGACGACTTTTGTTCGAACCACAACGCTATAAATGCTTCACCCACGTACTACAAATACAAATAATCGCCAACAGAACCTAAACACCTAACCTAACCTATGCCAATATATGCACTATATGCTAATATATTGTAATATCAATTTATATTTGAGAAAATTCCCGTTTTGAGTGAACAGCATGTTAAAATTTATGAATGCGTCTGTGGGGTCGACCGCTGGATGGAATGGAATTGAGTCGAGGACGGCTGGGGTATAGGTAGAGAAGTTGGGGAATGCATAGAGGGGGGTGAGGGGAGAGTGGGGGTGTGAGGGAGGGTGAGGGGTAGGGGGTGTGAGGGAGGAGTTGGGTTGTGAGTGGGGGAGAGGGGACGAGGAGGCTGATGACTCTCCTTTCACCGTCTTCACATTTTGTGGAGTCTAGAAGTCCATCATGAACTGTGCTGTTTCTCAAAGTTCTTTATCCTCTGACTTGGCTATTCAATTAGCGGCCCGCGGGCCAAATCCGGTCCTTGAGTCGTTTTTCACTGGACCTTCGACAGACTCAAAGGACTCATGCAGATAACTTGTGACGCAGAGAACTCATACTTCCTTGTGCTTAGAAGCAAATTTACAAGGATATATATAATGTTTCTATTATAACTATATAATGTTTCGCAGAGAACTCATATATAAGCAAATTTATATATATATATATATATATATATATATATATATATATATATATATATATATATATATATATATATATATATATATTCTATAATGTTTCTATAATGTTTCTATTATAAGTGCTCAAAAATATATTGAAAAACTGTATGTGGCCCTCCTTATGAATTTCAGTTTCATAATACGACCTCCAATTATGAAGTGAATTGCATTGTCCTGCGGTTTTCCATTTGATATTAGAGTACTCTTGAGTACTCCTCCCTTCGCTCTCCTCCTCTTTCGCTGGTTTTTAATGAACCTTAAATTTTCGAGAGCCACCCGGCAGCCGTCGGAGGAGTGACGGCGTCGACCACTCCTGAGTAACAGTGTGTGTGTAACTCTCCGCTTTAAACATTGTCACCGGCTAGACTTGTGTATTATTACTGATCTGAGCCAGTTACCCCTGACAATATTATTCCTTTGTGCTCCAATTGTTTATATTGGGTTATATTGGGGGTTAATTGTATCACTCTGGTCAGCGATGATTTTATTTTGTGGTAAACCCGTATACACTGTGACGGCTGGGATTTTTTTTTTCATATAGAGCTTAGAGGTGGTATCTCTGTGCTTGTCTGCAGGTTCACGACCATCTGGCATTCCTGGTTCTTCGGAAGACCTGATTTATGCCTCTGTACTTCCCCTTAATGTCGTCCCCTGCTGTAAACTTGCTGGGGGAGAAGTGTCTTCGGAGGGCTGCAGGTTTTGTGTAATTACCTAAGTGTAATTACCTAAGTGTAGTTACCTAAGTGTAGTTACAGGATGAGAGCTACGCTCGTGGTGTCCCGTCTACCCAGCACTCTTTGTCATATAACGCTTTGAAACTACTGACGGTCTTGGCCTCCACCACCTTCTCACCCAACTTGTTCCAACCGTCTTCTGTTTGCGAAAGTGAATTTTGAACTGAGAAAGCACGCACGTGTATGTGCGTGCGTGCGTGCGTGCGTGCGTGCGTGCGTGCGTGCGTGCGAGGTGTACAGGCGCTCTCTCCCACAGGTTCCTGGCGAAGAACCACCTAGGGCGTAGTGACGGCCTCCGCCCTTCCCTGGAGGAGCTGGGCGCCCTGCCCAGCCTCCACCACCTGGACCTCAGCTACGACTCCCTCACCCAGTTCGACCTCCTGCTGGACCTCGCCCCCGGCCTCAAGGCTCTGTGAGTACACCCTCTCCGTCGTCTGGAGTCACAGACGTGTGTAGTCCTGTGACGCCAGTAACGTCAGTCAGCGCTTGTAGAGTTAAGCACAGTTGTGCGTTACTGTGATTGTTAGTAACTCGTCACCATCATCGTTAATAGTGATTCGCTACTATGATTTGTAGTTCAAGCCTGTATTATGTATGGTAATTAACATAACAAAGTGCTAGGTTCGATTCCAACTCAGTATGTGTGTGTGTGTGTGTGTGTGTGTGTATATATATATATATATATAGTATATATATATAATATATTATATAGTTAAAATATATATGACCGAACCTAACCAACCCTACCTATATATATAAAAAGTAGGTATTGGCTTATCGGGCCTTGCATATAGGCTGAGAAGTGCGTTCTGGCTACTAGGTATATATATATATATACTACCCAGGGAGCTGTTGTGGGTAGTATCCTGGAGATTGGTCAGTGGTTGACCGAGAGAGATCTTGATAAGCCTGGCAGGCTGTCTGTACCCGGCATTGCAAACCATTTATCCAATTTTGTGTGAAAGTGGCGGTGGGTGAGGTCCCGGGAGATGGCCGCTCGCGGGCAAGAATAGCAACACTGACCAGAAACGAGTTTTAATAAGATTTTAATGATATTTCATCAAATGATAAACTATTCTCACGCCTCCAACACCCGACACCTATCACCTGCCCACCCCCCGCCAGCACACACCCACACTATACTCCTCCCATCATCGCCAGACATCACCCTCACACTACCCATCCTCACCCTACCCATCCCCACCCTACTCATCCCCACCTAACCATTAATGTCTACCTTTAAATCACAGTCCACATCGATATATTCCGCCGTAAAGGGCTACTAGTCACGGCTGCTTCTCTCTCTCTCTCTCTTCACAGCTTCCTCAACTTCAACCGCGTGACTCTCCGAGGTCGAGAGGTCAGCCCTAACGCCCACTCCCTCAAGGACCTGTGAGTACCACTGAAGACTGGGGAACCCCTTAGAGGGAACGGGTAGGCAGCAGCAGCCCGTTCTCTCCACTTGCCACTCCGTAAATAATACAACTGTTTTGCCTCACCGGAAACTTACGAACCCAAACTATTGAGACAGATACAGATTTTTTTTAATATTACAGTGTTTTATATGTAATTTTTTTAACTAAAACGTCGCCTTTTTATAGCTGATTGGTCAATTCCGTTCAAAAGACGTTGTATTAGGTGAGAGGATGGGTTTAGGGAGGTGGAGGGAGGGGGGTATTGAGGGGTCAAGGGGGCGGGGGGGGGGGATATGGGGGTGTGTAGAGGTATGCTGGACTGAGGTGTTGCATGTAGGTGTATTCAGTGGTGTTTTGTGGAAGATAATTCGTGAATTCTCTGGTTGACTCATCTGGGGGTAAGTACCCACTGCCTGACTCATCTGGGGGTAGCACTCACTGCCTGACTCATCTGGGGGTAGTACCCACTGCCTGACTCATCTGGGGGTAGCACTCACATAAATAACGATAAATAGACAACGATAAATAGAGAGAAAGATAAGTGATAGTGAAAGAGAATGAGAATGAGATTAAGAGAGACAGAAATTGAGAGAAATAATGAGAGCCACATGCAGAGACAAATAGACAGAAATAAACAGAAAGTCAAACAATGAAATTGACATATAAAGACACACAAAAAAGTCGTACACAGATTGACAGCAATAGACAGGCAGACAGGGATAAAGAAAGAGACAGACAGCCAGCCAGATAGATAGACTGAGACAGATAAAGCAAAACAAAAGAGGCATACACATACAGAGGTAGACTCACACACACACACACACACACACACACACACACACACACACACACACACACACACACACACACACACACACACACACACACACACACACTAGTGCACAAGCTGGAGATGCAGGCAGGAGTGAAAGGGAAGGTACTCCATTGGATAAGGGAGTACCTAAGCAACAGAAGACAGCGAGTCACTGTGAGGGGTGAGGTCTCAGCTTGGCAAGACGTCATCAGTGGAGTCCCGCAGGGATCATTCCTTGGACCTATACTGTTTCTGATATATGTGAATGATCTCCCAGAGGGAATAGACTCATCCCATCATAGTGTGCTGATGATGCAAAAAATTGTGAGGAGGATTAAAACAGAGAAAGATAGTAGGAGGCTACAAGATGACCTAGACGAACTGAATGAATGGTCCAACAAATGGCTACTAAAGTTCAACTCAAGTAAATGTAAATTAATGAAGCTAGGCGGTTTAAACAAGAGGCCAGACACAGGATACCGAATGGGAGATGAAGTTCTTCATGAAACGGACAAAGAGAACAATCTAGGAGTTGATATCACGCCGAACCTGTCTCTTAAAGCCCACATCAAGAGAATAACATCAGCGGCATATTCAAGGCTGGCTAACATGAGAACTCTCTTCAGGAACCTGTGTAAGGAATCATTTAGAACCTTGTATACCACATATGTAAGACCAATCTTGGAGTATGCGACCCCAGCATGGAGCCCGTACCTTGTCAAGCACAAGACGAAGCTGGAAAAAGTTCAGAGGTATGCCACTAGGCTAGTCCCAGAACTAAGAGGCATGAGTTACGAGTTAAGGCAATCTGAACTGCACCTCACGTCGCTGAAAGACAGGAAAGCTCGGGGAGACATGATCACTATCTAAAAAATTATCAGAGGAATTGACAAAGTATAAAGATAAACTGTTTAACACGGATGGTACGCGAACAAGGGGACACAGGTGGAAACTGAGTACCCAAATGAGCCACAGGGACGTTAGAAAGAACTTTTTCAGTGTCAGAGTAGTTAACAGATGGAATGCATTAGGCAGTGATGTGGTGGAGGCTGACTCCATACACAGTTTCAAGTGTAGATATGATAGAGCCCAATAGGCTCAGGAACCTGTACACCAGTTGATTGACAGTTGAGAGGCGGGACCAAAGAGCCAGAGCTCAACCCACGTAAGCACAACTAGGTGAGTACAACTAGGTCAGAACACACAACAATCCCCAGAACCATCGATGCCCTCCAGAAGAACACTATTAAAATCTGAACGCCTTAGCCAATCTTAATCTGATCCTTAAGTCATTCAAGTAGGTGCTGTTTTAGATTCAGCCACAAAATGTTGCAAGCAGCACGGGCTATGGTGAGCCCGTCGTACTCACCTGGCACAGACGTTCGCCTTCAAGTGGGAAGTAACTCCTCCAGTTCCCACATTACTGAGGGAGTATAAAAGTTGTCCTGGTAGATAATCACATAACTAATCTTGTGGATTACACCCCCCCCCCCCCCCCCGGTGCTTCTCCTCGCTGCGTATCGCAAGATCCCGGCAACACAAATCACACTCCTCAAGAGTTCGTATGAAAAGATTTGACAAAAATAAAGCTATGCTCACGATGCTTTCTCCACTCTCACAAGATGTTTATCCCAAAGCAAAACTCTTGGAGTTGTGCTCAGTTCCACAGTATGACACCCTGCTCAAGTCCAGACTTGGAAAAGTCCTCAACCTTTTTCTTGATGACTCGGTGGAAATATGCTTCTTTTGCAATCGGACTTTCTGGCCTTTGAGGCTCGCATATTATTTTGCCAACTCCTTTCATCCTCTGCATCCAATGATCTTGTTATTTGACTCGTACAGAAGACAACGGTGACTCGGTGGGGACATAACGGTGCCGCCGCCTTCATTGAAAGCTCCAATCAGTAGAATGCTTCTGCGACCTCGGAACCCAGACCAGACAAAAACAAAACAAAACAAAAAAAACACGAATTACATTGAGTAACAAACAGTTTTCCAGGCCATTGTTATTAACAAATTGCCTGTGCCTCCAAAGTGTAGACAATATAGGTAATATTCCCCACGGTCTTTGCTTTTGTGACCAGGACACAATATTTTGATATTTATTTATTTTCCAGAATATTGCAGATTGATTCAGTACCGAGTAAACATGGAGCAACTCCGTGACAGGCACAAGTCCTTCGTCTTCTTCCTCGGCTCCCTCGACACACCTCAAGGAGGATTACGACAGCCTCAGCACCTCGCTGGACGCCGTGAAGTGTGATGAGGACGTCTGGGAGATCATTCTAAACTTCAAAAGAGGGACATTCCTTGATGGGTCTCCAAGGCGGGTTTACCAAGTTCCGTCGCTTTGTTTACCTCGGCGACGGCAAAGAAAACGAAGACACAGATTCGCCATTTTTATAGTAGAAAGCGGGCTAATTTTAAAATCTGTCTGTGCTGGTCACATAAGCATAGAGGGGGGGGGATAATAGCCATTTTCCATACATTTTTAGGGATAACCAGTTAGGAAATAATACTGTCTTGGAACAAAAATAGTTACTTTGTGTTATCAAGCTGTTATCATTGTCTTATCAAGCTGGGATAGCCCAGTGACGAAGAGAAAATTTGAGAACTTCCGTTTGGTAACGTCACAACAGGTGGTGTTCGACCCCACTCGCAGGGGAGAACAGATGCTCTGGCGCTGTGACCTCATATCCCAATTCAGGCCGAGTCCAAGTATATTTGACCTGCCCTGGAAAAGCTCTATGGGTTGGCATGCAAGACACAATAAAATCAATAACACCAAGAGGAGCCAAGCCACTAGGCTTGGCTCCTCTTGATGAAAAAGTAGAGGAGAGACTTGATTTTCATCAAGCTCAAAATCTTGACAGCCTCGCACGTAGCCCAGATGGGATAACAGTATATTCCTTTAGAAGAAGGATAGATAGCTGGTATGAACCCACACAAGTGTATTCGCCATGGGTAATACTCATATATTTTTCAGTGTTGGTCAGGCAGCTGGCGTTCCCCAATCCTTGAGAAGCAATCAAATCCATCAAGTATTGGTAACTGGGCCATCGGTACACATGTTTTGGCATCACAGACCCCTTCAACCCCCCTAGGACAAGTGTCCCATGAACTTTTTCAGTGACTTGGGTTCTAGCTTCATCAACACTAAAAGAAACCCCAAGAGCTTCGCGCTTCCTGTTTCAGCGCCTGAGTGTGGCGATCTAGAGGGGAAGGAGCTGCCTGTCTTGATCTGTGGAGCTGGAAGAGTCCCCCGGGCACCAAGTACCTATATATGACAAACCCCAAAATAAAACTCAGTAAATGAATACTTTACGCTGCGTCGCCTTGACTGCCAGAGTTTTGCGAGAGGCGGACAGACCATTGCTGTATAGCGACACTGCTCTCTGCCTCGCCGACGCCCACAGAAGGAAATGGAAGAGAGTGAGAAGTTTGTATGTATGAACTTGTGCAGAAAGTTGCGGAGCCTTTGTGGGTAGCTTGTTGTACTGAAGTTTGGTGAGGACGGGGAAGGGGGAGCGGTCTCACCGGTGACCACGAGGGAGGTGGTAGTGGTGACCCGTATCTCATCCTTCACGCTAACAACATATCTACCCCCTCGGCAGGTTCCTGGAGCACAATCTGGTGGAGGAGCTGACGAAGGACTCCCTCAGGGGCTTCACGGGACTGGAGGCTCTGTGAGTATCCCTAGGAGTACTGTAGTACCCTCCCCGCCACTACACTGTCTCTGCCACTCGGGTCAGTCTCTCGGTTTGATACTCAAATTGTAATCTTTCAACATGTTTCTTCACAACAGGTTTCCTCGCTCGTAAGTTACACACAGATTGACACATTATACACCACGAATTATCTTCTGGTAATACATTTTTTTCCTCGGATCCTCTATACTGTAATGCATGTTAGAGCAAGACCCACCAGACTCTTGGTGCAGGTGGCCTGCACACCAGCACGTCGTCGGCTCTTATCTGACAGTACTCTCTTAGTGTTTATATATTTCTTAAGTTGTCTAATTGTTCGGCTTACGGATTATTATATAACTCAATATAATATACCTAATATAAATATAATATACCCTGAACCTTTGATTACTGGCATTATAAACTTGAGCAGTCGACTTTACCCTGTCTGGAGATGTAGGAAGTAATTTATTTACAAATTCTTATGATTTGCTCTCAAGTTCATTTAAAATGTATTCGCGTTCTATTTAACCTTAAGTGTGCCATCTCACTCTCATTTTCCCATTTTCTGACAGTCTCCCATTTTCTTTTAAGTGTGTCTTAACTGTCCCATCTCATTCTTTAGTTTTCTCTTAAATTTATCTCTTTTAATACTGCTCGACCCACCTCGCTCTGGGAAACTATTGAGGGTTGGTTTAACTCCTGAATGTGAGGATCCACGTCCAATATCGGCCATCCGGACCACCGGTTTAGAAAATTGTGGCACACTTGACTATCTTCCTCGTACTGCGTCAGCCTGGAACCTTTGTAACACTGGGGCCAGATTTACAAAGCAGTTACGCAAGTACTAAAGAACCTGTACATTTTTCCTCAATCTTTGACGGGTATGGTTACATTTATTAAACAGTTTGCAAGCATGAAAATGTCCACAATGAACTGTTGTTATTGTTCTAAACAGCCTCCTGGAGCTTCGGAGCTCATTAGCTGTTTAATAATTGTAAACCAAACCGCTAAAGATTGATAATAGATGTACAGGTTCGTAAGTGCTTGCGTAACTGCTAAGTGAATCTGGCCTCAGGTTATGGTATGAAGTCGCTGTTAATGCAGTTAAGATTTTGAAACTTTAATTTTCGCTAAATTTGCATAAAGTATTTCATTTGTTTATTTTTTTTTTTTTACCTGTAATCTGGAAGTATTGGTTATTTGTGATGTGTAGTATTTGGTGTGAGCTGGTACCGACGTGACACGGTGTAGAGGGTGTGGTGGGTGGCTGGGGGGTGGTGGCAGGCTGGGGTGTGGTGGCAGGCTGGGGTGTGGTGGGTGGCTGGGGTGGGTGGCTGGGGTGTGGTGGGTGGCTGGGGTGTGGTGGGTGGCTGGGGTGTGGTGGCAGGCTGGGGTGGGGGGTGGCTGGGGTGTGGTGGGTGGCAGGGGTGTGGTGGCAGGCTGGGGGGTGGTGGGTGGCTGGGGGGTGGTGGCAGGCTGGGGTGTGGTGGGTGGCTGGGGTGTGGTGGGTGGCAGGGGTGTGGTGGGTGGCAGGCTGGGGTGTGGTGGGTGGCTGTGGGTGGCAGGCTGGGGTGTGGTGGGTGGCTGGGGGGTGTTGGCAGAGATGGTGAAACACGTCACATCTCATACGAGTTTTCGGAAGCAATGTTCTCAGGTGTGCGCCAGGCTGCTACCAGCGAGAGGAGGGTAAATACAGGTGTGTGTGTGAGGGTGTGTGTGTGTGTGGGGGGAGGGGGTGGAATTGGTGTCAGGCGCCCGTTAACACCATCAAAACTACCCACACTCCTGCTTCAGAATACATAAGAGAAAAGATACAAAATACATAAGAGAGGTATATATATAGCCTGAGCATCCTGCATGTATGAACGACTTGTATGACAGGATGAACAACCCAGCGGGTTTTCTTCCTATTGGGGAGTGTTGTACATTCTGCTATGGCGGTATGTTCATCACAAGATGAGTGGCGCTGCCCAATAAACTCGCCCCTCGGGGCAAAATTTAAAAAAAAAATTTTTTTGTAATATTCGTCACTACATACTTACGTGACTGTCAGATGTCTGACAGCACCACTGTGGGCACCACTGTGGGCACCAGTATGGGCACCAGTATGGGCACCAGTATGGGCACCATCCACCTGGAAAATGTAATCGCCCTACCAGCTCCTTACTCCCCCCCCCCTCACACGGAGGTATGAAATTTTTTCCAAAATGTTTCTGAAAAGGAAGGAAATATTCCCGCGAGTTTTACCTTCACTGGAATTGAAGCTTTGGATAGAGAGGGGGTGTGGGGGGGGGAAGGGTTGGAGATGTTGTCGAGTGGTGGGGCTTTGGTTGGAGGAGTGGGTGTAATGCTGAAGAAGGGGGGGGGGCGCTGGCCACCAGAAACCTTCAGTTGTTGACCCATCTGACAATTCACCACTCACGTGACCCCATTTCTGGCTTCCGTTGTGCTCTATACTGTTCTAATGTTTGACTTGAATTCTTATATATAGTTTTCTTCACACTAAATACTGTTCCTCTTGACAATTGTATCGTGTTGAAATGTTATTTACTGAAGTGTCTGACACTACCACAACCACCTCTACTACGACTACAAGTTCACCCTCCCTGCTAATGCCCTCGTCTGCGCCTCCTTCAGGTACTTGCGTCACAACAAGATCAGAGTGATACATCCCGGCGCCTTCCTGGAGCTCCACAGCTTACTTGATCTGTAAGTAATATGGTCCACCTCCTAGCTCCTTCTCACCCATTCCTTACTTCATAAACCTCCAAAAGTGAGGTAAGGAGTTATCTCACTCTTCTCCCCCTTTCGTCACCTCAATACCACGTCTAGGGGTTCCTCCGGGAGGTTGACGTACACACACACACACACACACACACACACACACACACACACACACACACACACACACACACACACACACACACACACACACACACACACACACACACACACACAGGTGTGTTCCGATTTTGGTGTATTTTTCAGATATTTCTTACTGGAGCCTGATAGCAAGGGCAAGACTCTCCCAAGCTGGCATGAACACTGATAATATAATTTTGTTTAAATGTGTGAGAGTAGCGGGATGAGAGAGACTTGTGGCACATGTAGACTTTGATCATTGTATTTTGTTCATTTCACATTGTATTTGGTGAAATGAAGCTCCATAATATGTAGCTGGTAGTTTATACCGTTGATGACTAGAGGTGCAAGCGTATGGACGTCCGCACACAAGACAAAGTTAGAGAAGATTCAGTGGTATGCCACCAGACTAGTTCCGGAGCTGAGAGGTATGAGCTACGAGGAAAGGCTAAGGGAGGTGAACTTCACATCCCTGGAAAACAGAAGATTTAAGGAAGACATGATAACCACCTACAAAATTCTCAGGGGAATTGACAGGGTGGACAAAGACAAACTCTTTAGCACGGGTGGAACACGAACAAGGGGACACAGGTGGAAAATTAGTACCCAGATAAGCCACAGAGACGTTAGAAAGAATTTTTTCAGTGTCAGAGTAGTTATCAAGTGGAATGCATTAGGCAGAGATGTGGTGGAAGCTGACTCCATACACAGTTTCAAATGTAGATATGATAGAGCCCAGTAGGCTCAGGAATCTGTACACCAGTTGATTGACAGTTGAGAGGCGGGACCAAAGAGCCAGAGCTCAACCCCCGCAAGTACAACTAGGTGAGTACTGTAATAAGATGAGTACTCTATACCGACCTGGAGTATAGAGCACTCTTCCCCTCAACCCTCCCAGCTGATGTTCAACCCCCTCCCCGCAACCCCCTAACCTATCCCCCTCCCCCAAGCCTCATTCCCACCCCCCAGCGCCATTCCCAGTCACAACCCCCC